AAAAAATCTTTTCATCCATTTTATTTTAGCTTTTGCAATAGTAGGGACTGAACCCAGGGCCTCTGCTTTGAGTTACATCCCCAGGTACCCATTCCTCTCTCTTGAGACAGGGTCAAACTAAACCTCTAAATTGCCCTGGTTAGGCTCCCTCCAGCTTGCAGCCTACTGCCTCAGCTTCCCAGAGTGTTGAGATTAGAGGTATGCCTCACCATGTCAGCTACATTTTCAAAAACATCGACATAGAAATGTCATAATTCATGTCTTTAAAAGCCCCATCAACTGGGGGACAGCAGCCATGCCCCAGCATGCCAGAAAAAGAGGGTGCAGTCCCTGGGTAAAGCCTTGGACCAACAGCACCAGTAGCAGCCAACCAACGAGGAACTTACGTGAAATTGAGGCCACACTTGGCGATCAGTGGATAGATCACAGCGTCGAAGATAGGGACCATGATTACAATCAAGATGGCGTTCACAGTCTGCATGGGAAGCAGAGAGGACATCAGCACTATCACAAGGACCACTGGGGCTCCAGACAAAGCGGCAATTTCCTCCTACCTGCATCTGATCCGGCTGGATTTCAATAGCTCCCTGCAAAGGAGAAGGGGAAATCCCATTGAAAATGCTATGCAGGGAAGGAGGAAGAGGACCAAGGGACTAAGCACAAGAGCAGTAACCAGGGAAGGTAAAACCCGAGACCCCAAACTTACAATTTTCCCACTCATGGTGGTTGCTTGCAGGGTCCACCGGGAGCCCTTAAAAAATAAACACGTTTTTGCATCAGTTGGCAACAGGCTTTCTAAAAATTCCCAAGTCCTTTCTAAGTCGGCAGTGAGGTCTGAAATGTTGTGGGATTTGAAGTCTTAAACATCAAGGTGGCCTCCTGGCTCCAGGAGAATACAGGTAGAAAGGAAGAGGGTGTACTTCTGCTATGCCAGGGGCTCCATGTGCAGAAATGCAGCCCGGGTAAGGGATCACACAGCGCTGATTGGCTGCAAAGCTGCCCTTGTGGTTAGAAAGGCTCCCCAGAGCTGTGGAAGCGGCTCAGCACACTCAGTAGAGTCTGTGCTCATCGGCATCAGAGTTTCCAGAGCACTCTGATTGCCAGGAGCCATGCTGAACAGCTAGAGGGCTTAGGGTGTAGCTCCCCAAGACAAGGTGAACTCAAACCCTGGCAGCTCAGTGAGAGTTAACCTGTCCTACAGTCCATGGTGAGCCAGTAACCAGCAGGGCAAAATGCTCTGTCAGAAGTTAAATTCTTTTTCCTTTTAGAGATAAATGGCTTCTCCTTTCTAGATAAGCAGTTCCTGAAATTGTCTTCCTGCTGTGTGCTGGAGGGACAGAACCTGCAGACACTGGCCCCGGGAGGCCGGAGCCTCTTTCCTTCCCACAGAGAAGGAAGGCAGAGCTGGAGATGACTGGGCAGAGAGAGCAAGCCTCTCTTGTACACAGCTGTGCACTGTCTGGTTGTGTATCTTGCCTCTGTTCCTGTCTACTACAGACCCTTGGGCATCCCGACACAGCCAGACGGAGGGGAGGCAAAGGAGGCCTCGCCCTCTCCCTGGAGCCAGTTCTGAAGAAAGCTTTTTCTTTCCACTAAAATAAATGCCTGGTTTGATTTGGTCAGCAGAGCAGAGACCTGAGTGTGGGTGAAGTGGTGGTCACTGCCTACCAATGACTTCCCTGGAAGACTAAAGCAGAAGTGCTTTCCTGTGAACCCACCGCCTCCACCAGGAGGCTTCTGAGAAAGAAAAGTGCTGCTTCACAAATGCAGGGCTCTGAGCAGTTTGTAGGCAGCCCCACCCGGAGCCTCATGGAGGAGAGCTGGGTTACCATGGGCTTTGCAGAAGGGCTAGGAGTGCTTACCTGAGTCACCTACAGTAGGCAGGAGTGTGTCACTCCAGCTCGGGTCCCATTCCAGTGGGCTCCTGTCTGGCACACAGGGCCACTTCCCTGCCCCTTAGAGGCCGGTAACATCTCATGCTTACAAGCATGGAGATGAGTGTGTACACCCAGTCTTTTCCCAAGGGGTGATTTACACTTACAGTAGCCTTGCTGTACAATAAAAATGCATGTGTTCATAGTTCTTTTTTTAACTTCAGCTTCTAAAAGAAACACTGTCCTGTTTCCTCCAGTTCTTGAGCACTATGCGCTGAGTTGTATGGCACAACTGTGCAAGATTCCAATGTGTGCTCACAGCTGGGGTAGGAGGAGAAGAGTGACAAGTCACCCTGCTGGGCTGGGTCCCTGCTCTGGATGGAGGACTCTGTAGGGTAGAGGACATCAGGACCTCTTAGTGTCAGCCCTCATGGATCCCATCAAACACAGGCCGTCTTTTCACCTTGCTGGGTCAGTTGGAAACAGGCTCTCTTTCCCTCGGTGTTGATGGCAGGAGTCAGGGCATATGGCTCAAATCTCCCACAAGGCTACTTTACTGACCAGGCTTCTTGCCTCATTTGCATTACCATTTGCAACAGTGAACAGAAGCTTCAAGAATTCTCTTTTTTTTCTACAGATAAACTCAGTGATGTAACAATGAACTAAGTGAAATCCACAAGAGGAATTGGAAGGGAACTTTTTTGGCAGGACTGGAGATTGAACTCAGGCCCTTGCGCTTGCCAGGCAAGCCCTTATTCTACTGAGCCATCTCCCCAACCCTGGAAGGGAACATTTTTAGGAGCTAACCATGAAGTATGGCTCAGTACATGGCAGTACCCAGAGCATGTTTGCTAAAGCAGAGACATTACCTGCTGATCAAACAAAGCCCAGAACATGGGGAGTGGAATAAATAGGAACATCACCCTCACAACCATCTTGATTTGAGTGATAAGCCGCTCCTGGAGGGAGAGAAAATGAAACAAGGGTTGTGTTCATTTCAGCGTCAGACAAGCTGGGAGGTGGCTGTCCCAAGGACGCCACTGTTGAAGAGATGAGTGAAAACAACTGGTAAATTCCACCATCTGTAAATCCTATCACCACCCCTTACCTCTTCTATATTTGAACTAAAGTTACTCATATGTACATATAATTAGTGGCAGTTATACCAAATGTAAGGCTAAGAAAAGATAATAGTGTTTTCAGATAAACCATATTTGTTGTTCATCAAGTTCTTTTTTTTTAAGTGTATTTGGTACAGGATCTCACTACACAGCTCAGACTCAGTGATCCTCCCATTTTCAGCCTCCCCAGAGCTGGGATTACAGGTGTGCACTACCATGCCCAGATTCCGCGGCTGGCTCAGCGTGGGTGGGGGGAAGTGGGCATGGCATGTGGTGCCCGGATCGAACCCTGGGCCCCGCGCTTGCCTAAGTAGGTGCTTAGTCCGCTGAGCTGTCTCATGGGCCTTTGAAGTTCTTAACTTATGTACGTACACCAAGTCCCTATGAAGAAGGCAATCATCATGACCTGGAAAAGTACTTTAAAAATAAAAATGCAAAAAAACCCAAACCCCCCAAACCGTCCAAATTCAGTCTTATTTACTGTGCTAATACAGTGAGGAGGTTCTCACTGTTCCCACGGATAGCTGTGTCCTTGTGGACTAACTACACCGAGCTGGGATTGCGGAGGTGGCTTTCCGGAAGGCCCGGAAGCACCGCAGTGAGGGCGGTTACGTACGTCGTATTTCTCCTTAGCCCAGTCCAGCCAGTGCTTCCTCTTGGGAAATTCCTTACTCCGGTGCCTGAATCTGTTTTTGATGGCAAACTGAAAGAAGGAAGAAAAATAAAATTTCAAAAACACAATCAACGACTTCATCAGAGAAACACACGGCAATGACACACCCTTTAGTGGAAAAATAAGTGAGAAAAGCAAAATATAAAATTGTGTATTTGGTATTTTGAACGTGTTGAAAGGCACGGCTTCCACCTTCGACATTAGTCTAATTAAGATATTTCAGTTCGGGTAAACAGAGTCACAAGGTCACCACTTGTTCTCCAGATCCTTGAGAGAAGCGAGTTCAATAGAAACATCAGAAATATTTCCAATTTAAATTTTCTAGTAGCAAAAATAACAAATGAAAGGACAGCAAGTAAAATTTATTTTATTCTTTTTAAAATAAATTATTTATGTGTGTGTGTGTGTGTGTGTGTGTGTGTGGCCAGCTCAGCCCACTAGGGGGCGGGGCTGGCTGGCATGTGGTGCTGGGGGATTAAACCGCGGTCCCTGTGCTTTGCTAAGCTTGTTCTAAGTAGGTGCTTTAGAACACTGAGCCATCTCACCAGCCCCGTAAAATTTATTTTAATTATATCTTTTTTAACTTAGTAAACCTCAATTATGATTTTAATATATAATCAATAAAAATTAACAAGCCTCTTTACCTTCTTTTTTCATCACAAATCTTCAAAATTCAGGGCAATATGTCCACTATGACATATCTTAATTTGGTCACTAATTTTTTATCAGAAATATATGATCTGTCTTTAATTCTGTGACATTTATAGTTTAAAAACTGGATTTACATACTAGCTTGTTCCAAATGTATTTAAAATCTTTCTAGTAACTGCACTGAACATCACTTTATTTTATTTTCTTTTTTGAACATCATTTTAAAAGTTTAGATTGAAAACCCACTCAAAAATATGTTTAAAAAAATAAGTGTAAGGTACTTCTCTGCCTTACATGTATGTGCAAGGGCATGTATGTGCAAGGCCCTGGGTTGTATTTGATCACCAGAAAAAAGGAGAAAGGCAGAGAAGAGAGAGAGAGAGAGAGAGAGAGAGAGAGAGAGAGAGAGAGAGAGACAGCCAGACAGACAGACAGAGACAGACAGAGACAGACAGAGACAGAGACACAGAAAGAGGAGGAAACAATGGAACATACTTTAAAAAATATTGTGATTAATTATAATCCAATCAAGAAATAACCAATGAATTGAGCATATATTTCAATCGAAGTAACTCTGATTAGAAAATATGCTAGTGTACCTGTCACAAAATGAGAGGCTACTGAGATTCTTTGTTGGTGTTGCTCAAGAGAGGTCATCAGGAAACACGAGGGCATTTGCAGTGAGCAGCAAGAGCAAGTGCAGGTGGTGGTGGCTGGGGACGGGTGAGTGATTGAAAGGCAGTAACTCAGAGCTGTGGGCCGCCTGTAGGAGGCCGGCCACGCAGCCCTACATATGGGTTCACTGACAAGTATGCAAGGGGAAGCATACTGACTCTGTTGTCTGAAGATTTCTACTCCTAACATTTATTTCTGAGCTATAAATGCACTAGTGTGTACATATCTCCTTAGATGCATGTGGAAGAAACACAGTTCTGCATGTTCCCATTTTACCAACTTCTTTGCAAACAAAACTCATGCTGGCAGTATAAGAGATGCTTTTAAATAAAGCATTACTTTCCTATATTTTCAGCAATTGGGTGGACTTTTTTTTTTTTTTTTTTTTTTTGCAGAACCGGGGATTGAACTCAGGCCCTTGTGCTTGCCAGGAAAACACTTATTCTACTGAGCCATCTCCCTGGCCCCTTGGACTTAAATTCTTGCTGATAAAAATATTACAATGATATTCTTATTTTGGTTTTATTTTGTGGTACTGGGAATTAAACCCAGGGACTGTCAC